ATATTTTCGAATATTACAACTGTGGCACCAGCCGCGGATGAATAGGGCGGGTTCATAAAGTAAAGTTACTTTTCCATCACTATTTCTCCATGTCCTGAAATTTCCGGTGGGTAAATTTATATTTAGTATCAGCATTGCACCCGTGCAGAGCCGATGCTAGTCACTAGTATTTTACATGGGGTGAACAATCGAAAACTTGACATGAAGGTTTTGGGTACTAATCTTGCAAATCCTACAAAACGCTCAGACAGGTCGATTTTTATTGGAAGGGGGGCAGTTTTTTCCCCATTTACAGCGTCGTCACTTCAACCCCTGAGCAGAGGGGTGAACAACTCTTGGAATTTCAATAAGGAACTGGGGGCGAGTCGCACATCGTTCGAAAGATCTTGGAATTCTCTAAACAACGTAATATATTTTTTTCAATTCGGACGAACCATATTGAATTCAGAGTTGAAGTTACTTACTATATTCTCATGTTAACATATGCTCAAAATTGGCACCTCTAGCTTTCATGCACTGATAGAGATTCTGCTGGAAACTATCTCGAACATTGTTGAGCATTTCTGGAGTGATTTGCCGACATTCATTTGTGATTCGTTGCCGTAAATCTCCGATTGATGCAGGAGAAATACAGTAAATTCTGCTTTTCAAATGACCCCAGAGAAAGAAATCTAACGGCGAAAGGTTGGTCTGGATAAATTGCCTTCTGAAAACGATAGACCAACAATACGGTCACCAAAAATTCCAGCTCCTACATTTAATTTTTGTGGACGTTGAGTATGCACTTCATGAAAAATGTGAGGATTCGAATCAGCCCAATAGCGACAAGTATGGCGATTAACTGTGATATTGAGAAAAAGAAGAACATTCATCACTGAAGCAAATGTTGAAAACAAAATGTGGATTTTCCACCGCTCTGCACTAACCAACTCGCAAAATTGCAAGCGTCGATCGAAATCATCTTCATTTAGTTCTTACATTAATTTAATCTTGTAGGGATGCATTTTGTGGGTTTATAAAATACGCCGAATGCTAGTTCGTGACACCCTGGAAACAAATGCTAACTTTTTTTTGCTCAAAGTATGGTCAAGCTCAACATGGCCCAGAATTGCCACTTGTGTCGCCTCATTTGTTACTGGTGGTCCGATTTGCCGTTTTTTATTTGCTACAAAAAATCGAAAAGCTACTGTCGCGACACATTCTTCCCATGTTGTTGGTTGAACAGTTCAGCGGCACTCGCAGCACAACGTCTATTTCCATAGTACAGTTCAATCCTCTCTGCAGCTGTGTAAACCATTGTTCCTTCAGCAACACTTTACGGCACTCACTACTAGTAATAATGTAGATATCACTTTCAACATGAAAATAAGAAATAAAAACAGCATTTTTAACCATTTCTCAATTGTTATAGTCCTCTCATCAGAAAAGAACTGAAAATTCAACAAGTAGCGTAAGAAACAAATGAGAGAGTTCCAAATACATTCCAACTGATCAGTGGCGTACAACAATTTGTTGCTATTAACAATATTGAAAAAGTTAATCATCGGAAAAACCTCTTTCAAATACGTCCAAATTAAAAAAAAAGTATACCATTGTTTAGAGAACCCCAATATCTTTCAAACGATGTGCGACTCGCCCCCTATTCCCTATTGAAAGTTCAAGGGTTGTTCACCCCTCTGCTCCGGAGTTGAAGTGACGACGCTGTAAATGGGGAAATACTGTCCCCCTCCCAATAAAAATCGACCAGTCTGAGCGTTTTTTCGGATTTGCAAGATTAGTACCCAAAACCTCCATGTCAAGATTTCGATGGCCCACCCTGTATATGAAAACAATCGTAGCATCAGGCATAATGCAGTGTTCATTTGTAAATGAACCATATTGATGTAATTTCAATCACAAAAGATGAAAACTGTTATTTAAAGTGGGAAGAGAACTGAACACGGTTTTTGCGACTCGAATTGAATAGAGAGCAACACATTTTCGTGTTCTTCTCACAACGAGATTTCGCAGCACACTAGCACAATGGTGAATAGTTTTATTTGTTTCGAGTGGCGAAGTGAATATTAAGTGGTGGAGCTGCATTGCACACGACATAAATATAACTGAATTATAATTATTGCTTTCCGGGATGTAGAACCGGGAAAATGGGTTGTTGCCGTTGCCAACAACGGTTGTGTGTTAGTTACGACCAAAAAAGTGAGTCATAAAATTGTATATGACGTTTCTGTAACCTTGTTTGTTATTACTGTCGCTAAAAACCTCCCCGAATTCCATTTGGAAACAACGAGGGGCGGATAACTACTGAAGGATTTATTTAGTCATCAGAGAGATCGTAAATTTCATTACATGAACACATTTTTTGGTGGATCATCATTTCCGTCTGGAGGATTTATGGAATGGCATTATTACAACAACTGGAATCTACACAGTGTTCCACGCACAAAAAAATCCCAGAACGATTTCTATTTCAGAGTGTACTAATATTAATTGATTGTGAGTCCAATCCTTTTGCATACCTAGAGCTCTCAGTACTTTCTTACAAGTAAATTGATACGTTATTTGAATAACTTATGAATAATCATCGTACCGTACCAAGTACCGGTTAACTCCTTCACACATTTTCAGTCAAAAAAATAGACTTATTTCCGATTTTAACTACATTTTAAGGGAGTAGGTCACTTAATTTATAAGTAACATTATGAATATTACTGGAGTTTTTTTCTGACACCAAACCGTTATTTTAACACCTCGACACCTCGATGAAACTAAACATACTTACATGAGTTATCCTTATTTATACCATAGATACCTCTTCTAGGAACCTGTGTCTTAAGTGTCTTAAATTCATTTCTCGATATTGCCTTATCTACCAGTCTTGAATTAATTTTACCATATGTCCTTATGTATAATAGTCAAGTGATTTAGTATTCTATTAGGTAGGTATCGGTCCACCATCGTTATTCACAATATTATTATATTTACTCATTTCTAGACTCTCATAGGCATCTAGATTGTTGTTGTTAACTTGTTTTGTTAATCTTAATAAATTGAAGTCTATGGAATGGTTTTGAAGCAAAATATGATGGGCGGCTGCTGATTTTTCATGTCTTTCATATTTCAAGCGTGCTAACTGTTCATTTTATCTCATTTTAATAGATCTTTTTGTCTATCCATAATATTTTGTATCGCAGTCCTTACATGTAATTTCGTGAATTTCAGACTTCTCCAAATTCTCGACTTTGTATTTCAGATTTCCTAAAAAGCTCTGTAGTGTATGACTTGTTTTAAAAACCTGGTTCCTTGAAAATCTTTCCAAAGTTCTTCGTGTATTGGTTTTCGTGATTGAATCATCTGCAATACCCTTCGAGAAACCGTTAGTGGCTGCTATTTCCTGTATTGTATATTTTTTATTTGTTTACTTCTCATTTGTGAGAGGAAAAGTCTAAAGACGATGCCTTAGAAAATTAGGCCAGCACGTTTGTGCCGTCCACAGTGATGTAAACTGTAAACTGATGTAAACTAGTACGTGCTTGTTACTTTTCTGAATAAATCGTATTCTAGCCCTTCATATTGGCTCCTCATTACCAAAACGTTAAGAAATGAAAGTTGTCATTCATTTTATAACTCATACATGCATTTTATTGATGAAAATTTATTATTTAAAAAGAAAACAAAGTCCTCAATATTCGATTTTTTGTTATCGAATATCGCGAAAATATCATCCACATACCTGAGCCATATTCTAGGAAAATACTTTGACTTTTCTTTAATTTCCATTTCGAATCTGCTTATGAATAGGTTTGTCGTTTATATAAGCAACCTTCTGCCTGGAACCGGATTTGTTTCATACACAAATTAGTGAGACAAACAAATTCAACAAAATTTCATTGTTATTGAATCTTTTTTCTCTAGTAATTCCCTGAGGTAGGTATAGTAAGGTCTGTGGAATTGGGACGCTAGGAAATCAGGAACAAACATAGAAAAACCAAAACCTCACCTTCTTGCAGAACGATGTTTCTTGTATGTTGTTAAGAATTTTTTATACTAAAACCTGGTTCCGCAATACAAGACAAGCCTTCAAATTCTTTAGTGAGCCATTTTGCTATTTGGTAGGTAGGAGATTCAATACCTGACACGAGATCTTACTCTTGAAGATGATCACTTGGTGATCGAAACACGTGTCGTGGTGTTAAAATAACGGTTTGGTGTTGGGAAAAAACTCCAGTAATATTCATTACTACACCAAATGTTTCAAACACTGCATCACAAGAACTAACTTTATTGCAGTTTCGTCCTAAAAGGACATTACCGAACGAATACAATAAACTGAAATAATTAACAATGTCATTATATTTCTATACGCATGGCCCGTAACTTTACTGAATACCTGAATTTTGTTTACAATTGAAGATGTGGGTACGCTAATTTGAAAATAGTGCAAAATTTTTGTATCGTTTAGATTCGGGAACTTGTGATTGCATTTCAAGGAATGGTTTGGAAACTTCCAATAATTTTTACCTATCAACATACCGTTTTGAGAAACTTCTGCCACATTGTCCCACATAAACACTATCACTCTCCGGACAACATATTTCTCCATCTTGAACACTTCATCTTTGGCATAGAGAGGGAAATTAGATAACCTGGCATGTGGTCTGAATGCCACTTCCACATTGTTTTTTTCTGAAAAATCCCGCAATTGTCCCTGTTCTTCCACCAAAATATGTTTCAGTTACTAATTTCTTGATTTCTGATTGTTGATCTGGGTATATATTATTCTGTACGTAAGGCATTGTTTCCTGGATTCGCAAATCAACTTTCAAAACAGCCAACTTACTACTTAATTGGGTGACATGAGTCGTTTGTGTCATTCATTTCTTAGAAAGCATGTTGATATTGATTGACTAAAAATATACGTCATTTGGAAACGAACTTGATTCAAATATGTATCATTAGTGAAATGAAGAAAGTCACTCTAATTGTTTTGTTTTATGTTACAGATGCACAAATCCAACACAAGGGAAGTTACTTTGACGAATGTGGAGAGAGATACTGCTGGGGAGTTCAAATGCGAAGTTACTGCAGATGCTCCTCTTTTTCACACAGACATTCGTATGGCAAAATTGTTGGTAGCAGGTAAATATCATGTAATGGAAAATCATGTTTCTGTGAATGTGTCTGGAAATGCTCCATGTTGAATGTTAGACAGATTTGAAATCGGATAGAAATAAATAAACGTGGCGATAGATGAATGTGGTATTGAAAATAAATATTAAAATAATTCAAATAATTGAACGAGAGTTATTTTTTGTGAAGAAACACCAGTTTTTATCGACTTTTTTGGGTATTTTCACCAGGTGTACCAGCCATACAGGTATACCAACCTAAATTAATATTACAATTTTGCCTTATCTATCATTTCACAATATATGTTCAATTTGTTTCATACACAAATTAGTAAGAGGAACAAATTCATCGATTTCATTATTATTGAAATTATTTTTGTATAGTAATTCCCTGAGGTATTGCAAGGTCTGTGGAATTGGGACGCTAGGAAATAAGGAACTAACATCAAAAGAAACCAAAATCTCAGCTCCTTACAGAACGATGTTATTTGTATGTTGTATGAACTCTAAAGAGTTTTTTATACTAAAACTTGGTTCCGCAATAGACAACGTTTCAAATTCCTTAGTGAGCCACTTTGCTATTTGGTAGGTAGGAGCTCCAATAGCTGACACGATATATTTAGAAAAGGAACAAGCACGTACAGGTATATTCCTGACAGTTCACATCACTGTGAACAGCAAACGTGCTGGGTTGAATTTTTTAGTGCATCGTCTTTTGACTTTCCCTCTAACACATGATAGGTTCACAAAAGAAAGACGTGCAATACAGAAAATAGCAGCCACTAACGGTTTCTCCAGGGGAATTAGATGACATAATAAGGAAGAAGAAGTTTAGGTTGAGAATGAACGAAATCTCGACTTTCAGAAAGGACAAAAACCAAGATAAATACATCTCAGTTCCATACCACCAATATACGAAAAACTTTGGAGACATTTTCAAGGAACTAGGTGTGAAGTTGGTTTTTGAAATAAGTCATACACTACAGAGCCTTTTGGGAAGTCCAAAAGACAAAGTCGAGAATTTGGAAAAGTCTGGCATTTACGAAATTGAATGTAAGAACAACTCCTTGAGAGGGTGTACAATGGGTCACGTGTGGCCTAAGTGCTGTGGGCCTACACACACCCTCCCTACTCTACAGATACAGTTACAGAACATAACAAGATGAAGCACTCACTGAATTCATTCCTCAGACAATGACTTCATGTCACGAATGAGTTGAACCTAATCATCGTGACTCATGACTCATCATGACACGAGTAGTTTTAATTCGAAATTTTATGATTGAATTGAGTGCTTCATCTTGTAATGGTATCCAGATTGGTGCTGAAGAGGCAATAGGTGTCTTATTCCGACATTCGCCATTGAGGATGGCAGTGTATCATGTGAGAAAAATCTTATCCCTTTCATACTATATTGTGTAGCAATCCTATGATTGTTATCTGATTCAATTCTATAACAAATGTTTGTTATACGAAGGGAATAGCAAATTTAGTTTTTGTCTGACAGTTACTTCTTTACATGATCTACAGATATTTGTGAAGAATTCCTTCTGAAATTGATTGTTTTCTTCTTTTCTTCAGAAGATTTCAATTTTTTTTGTAATTGGATGAGAGAATAGAAAGCCAAAACATTCCTTTCTCGATTTTAACTCATATTTTTATTGCTTCATATAATGGAAAAAGCATCAGTAGGTAGATACATGGATTTGAAATGAATGTGCACGATCCTCCAGAAAATTCATTAGTTTCATTCAATCGAGTATGAGATATTTGGTGAACCCATTTTCTGATATGAATCTTACCATAACTCTCAAACCACTTGATCCAAATCCAAATAACAGTATATTTCTGAAAACAACTCTTTCCAAAGACATCAATCGAGTTAACATATACCCATATAGGTACACGATATCCCGATTGAATATTCCTCATGTTGGTATTTCTTATTGTGAGGTTTCATTATGAATAGGAAAGCTGGTCATATAACAACCATACATATTTGTATGACCACTATCCAAGGCATGTTCAACTTACACATTGTCCAATTTTTCAAAAACCATTTACTGAAAATGTCTTTCTAACTTCTACTCAAAATGTCACTAACGTTTGATTACCTGCGGAAGTGGAATTTGAGAAATCGATATAGATTATCCTCGAATGAGTTCAAGTCGAGAATAATTTTGAAATTTCAGTTATAGAAAATGTTATGTTGTATTACTTCATTAGTATATGGACTTGGTTCCAAATTGATTACTCTTATATTGCCTCTCAAGCCGTCTCAAACTTTAAAGATATTTTTCACATTTTACTTCGATTCCGTAATGATTTACGTTCTTGTTTAATTTTCAGTTTCTCAATGCCATAAACTGAAATTTCATCAAATGAAGAAGCTCATTCATTACGTAAATCTGAATTCACTTTATACAAAAATGAATAATATTCATTTATTACCAAAAGATTACCGAGATACGGCCAATTTTAATTAGCGAAATGTCGAAGAACTGGGGAATTCAGTCCAATATATTATCTTTATCTGGTAATGTAAATTAGATGGAAACAGAGCACATATATCAGAATATCAATTGACAGACGTATTATAGTCGTATTCTATAAATAGAATTATACTGCATTACCGCCATTAGAGTATTCAAAAACATATGTAACATACATGTCATTCAAATTATGTTGAGAAGAACAGTATGGTAATTTTCCACCTTTTTGATATTCTTATGATGAGTGATAACACTTGTACCTTCGATATATTAGGTGGGGTAATAGATTTACACAGGTGGCATCAATTTGTTTAACCAAAATAATTCGACAAACTATTGAATCCGAAACGTTGCGGCAACTGTTCCAAACAATTTGATATTTTTATGAAAAGTTCATTTTTGAAATTCACTAGAGAGTGGTAGTTCATTGAAAAGTTACATTTGGAGATGCATTTGTCAGAGGACTCATTTAATTTTTTAGATGTCAAGGGGATGTTAAGTAGAAACTCATATCCGAGTTTGTGTGAACCCATCCTTTGTCCTGCGGTTAGCATCTTGGATGAACGATTGCAGATGGTTTTTATGGTTCATCTGGTGAAATAAGGGTCGCCTGAAAATGTGAAAACATATTTTGTCATAAGTTAAAAATTCTCTACAACTTCTCTACAACTTCCGTCCTGTAATTTTCAATCGTAGGACCAGAAATAACATACATTTTGTGATAATTGATATTGCATTGTGATTCATTAGTTATTGACTTTTTTCTCCACCACCTACGAGGTAGAGTCTAGAGTTTTATAAACATGTTTACATATTATAGGGAAATATAAGATCGAAACAAAACAAAAAAATTTGAGGATAAGAGACTTTATTTACAATACACATGAAAATATATTCAAATGAAGTCTTTTGTGCATGAACTTTTTGCAAATATTGACTTCCGTTTATATGTTTCAAAGTTTTCCTTAATAAGGAACCAACAATAATCCCCCACCATTGCTGCATCCGATCTGCCTTGGTAACGTTGCTCCATTGTCAGTATGTCTTGGTGGAACCTTTCCCTTTGTTCGTCACTGACAGCACCCAAATTTTCTAGAAAAAAATTTAAATGGGAGTGCAAGAAATGTATTTTGAGAGACATGCGACATCCCACTTTGCAGTAGTTTTCAAGTAGTTCTTAAACAAGTGTTTCGTGATTTTCTACTTCCTTGTTTCCTAAAAACTCAGAAACAATTCTTTTGAAAGAACTCCACGCAGCTAATTCAACAATACCAAAATTTTGATCAAACTGTTGATCACTTAGTAGTTTTCTAATTTGTGGTCCAACAAATATTCCTTCCTTGAGCTTTGCATCACTTAATTTTGGAAAAACGTGTTTTGGATATTTAAACGCATCACCTTCTTTGTCTAATACTTTTACAAAATTTTTCATTAACCCCAGTTCAATGTGTGATGGAGGTAACAAAACGTTTTTGGGATTAACAAGAGGGATATTCTTCACGTCAGTTTGACCTGGAATATATTTATCTCTCGGAGGCCATTCTTACACCGCGACACGTGTTTCGCTATGCAATAGCTTTTTCACTGTATTCACTGTATTTCACTTTTTCACTGTATGAGTTTCAATATGGATTGTTTCAGGAGGACTTTCTTTCAGTTTGTATCTGAAAGTTACTTCTTTGCATGATCTACACATCCATGTATAGAGTTACTTATTTTTCAAATTGATTATTTCCTTCCTTTCTTTGGAAGGTTCCCTCATTCCTTTTTTTGTATCAATATGGAGTAGTAGAAAGCCAAAAACTTTCTTTTCTCGTACTCAGCTTCTGTAGCATGAAAAGTTTGCTTGACTTCTTCTAAGGCTTCCGATCTTTCTGGCAAATTATTTAATAGGGCATTCACAGCAACATGTTTCGCCGCACGGTAAGAACTCGACCAGCTCATTCCTTTTTGTGATCCTGGCTTGTACTCTTTTATAGGTGCCGGCCATATTGAACCCATTATCATACACTGTGGTGGAGAGAGATCGACGGGGTAGTTTTCAAATATAGCAACATACCTTTCGCACGCGCGTGCTGCCGCGATTTCTGCGGGCGAGCGGGCGCATAATTTGAACTATACCTACGCGCCTTGCGAATAATAATGTTCGGGCCTAGTCTGTGTCAATTTTAAGTAAATGATAAGTTGTTTATTCGTCTGTAAAGTGTGAGTTTGGCTGCCCTTTGAACTTGCCGCCCGGGGAATAGGTCCTTGCTTTCCCCTCTCTAGATCTGGACCTTGGCAGAGCCCGCCTAAGAATCTGGTTGATCTTTTATATTGAATTGTTGAGAAAGAACTGAAAGAGAAAGTGACGTTACTGTCGGTAATCCATCTTCAAATTAATTTTCTTCGAACAACTTCGATATTTTCATTACGTTGCGGTATACCTTCCCAGAACAATTGCATCGGTAGAAAATAATCATCAGAAGAGCAGAAGATTCTGGAGATTTAGAGCTATGTAGGTACTGGTCGATTTATT